AGAGAGAGAGAGAGAGAGAGAGAGAGAGAGAGAGAGAGAGAGAGAGAGAGAGAGAGAGAGAGAGATATTGAAAACTAAGTGGCCGGAAGAGGGGAGAGAGAAGAAGAGGGGGGGACTGACTTTAGAGGCTTTTCGCCCAAGCAGAGTATCGATGACGAGACTCTTCCCTACGCCAGTGGTGCCAAGCACTAAGATCTTGAGAGAAGAGCCGAGACCTCCCGCAGCCTCCATTAGAGAGGTGAGCTCCCCTGAAGAAACCATCTTACTTCCTTCGTCCTCAGGCTGCCACGTGGCCACTCGATCACCGCGCCCAGGTATACTCGATGTCCACCTGTGCGGATATAAATGCGTACTATAGTTCCGCACCGAATCCCACACTCCCTGTTCCCTCCGCACTGCCGATGACTCCTTACCACCACCCCTCCGTCACACAATCTCTCGGCCTCACTCTCTACACTGCGGGTCTTTTTCTCCACACCACCGAGTCCCGTAGTTTCCCAACTCCACCAAGAGAGAGAGAGAGAGAGAGAGAGAGAGAGAGAGAGAGAGAGAGAGAGAGAGAGAGAGAAAGAGAGAGGCACACTCCTTACCACCACTGTCGCACCATCTCACTGCCGCACACTCCTTACCACCACTCTGTCACACAGTCTCTCTGCCGCACACTCCTTACCACCACTCTGTCACGTAATCTCTCTGCCGCACACTCTATGAGTACAAGTCCTTTCTCTACACCACCGAGCTCTGGAGTTTCACAACTCCAACCAAGAGAGAGAGAGAGAGAGAGAGAGAGGCGCTGGAGACTGATCGCCCGGGCTGCCGGGCCGATAGCAGAGATAGCAGAGATAGCAGAGAAGGGCGTAATGAACGCACGGGATCCCGTGAACGCCGCTGCGATCGATGAGCTAAGCGGATGGATGAGACTACGCAGGGCCTCTACAACATGTACGTGGGCGACAACGACGGATAACTGGGCGACAGAGATAAATGAGCGACAATTTGGGCCGCGCCAAGAAGAAACCACACCTCCGGAATTGTCGAGCGCGGCGCAAGACGGGCCCTGGGTGTCAACAAAAAAAAAGGGTCGGATCGGGCTGTGCTTAGATAGAAAGTACAAACCCGGTCGCAATACGAGCCAGATTCATGCTTGCTTAGCACAAACATAGGCGGCAATGACGGATAGCGGGCGAGGATCAGGTACAGCTGTGCGTAGAAAGTACGGATCTGGTCGTGGAAATCAGCGAGGCTCACGATTGATTAGCACAAACATAGGAGGCGATGATGGATAAGCAGGTGATAAGTGTGCGACAACTTAGGCGGCACTAGGAAACCGACACCCGGGAATTGTTTTTGTTTTTTTTTTCTCTCAAATTCTTTTTGCCTTTCACTACCTTCCTACCACTACTCCTAGGACTATATAGAGGGGACCCCTGCAAGCATAGGGCCTCCCAAAAGAGGTAATTCTAGTGGGGTTTGGCGTCTGTGTCAAGGTGTCCCATTTTCGGCGGCGGGCGACCAGGATGCAAAGTGGGTTGTTAGGGGGGGGAGGAAATTGTGGGGACCAGTCCTTGACGAAATTACGGGCTACCTACAGCTAGCTCGGGTAGAACCGGGGCTTTTGGAAAAAGGAAGGACCGGTCCTCGGGTGGAAGTGGACCCCAAAAAGAAGTGGGGGGCCGTTGGACTGGTCCTCGGGTAAAAGCGGACCCCCAAAAGAAGTGAGGGCATGTGAACTGCGAAAGGGCCCTCAGGCCCAGGCGTTGACGCCCGTCTTCTCGAAACAGGGAGGTCAGGCAGAACGAAAAAGGTGTTTTGCAAGAGGCAACTTTGGCGATTTTGTGTGCTCGGACGAACCTGCAGAAACATCTGAAATTTTGAGAATCCATAGACGAGGTCGTGTTCTTTCCATAAATAATATTAGAACATTTTCAAAAAATCATTTAGACTGCGAAATAATTGTCGTGCCGATTTGGCACATTTTCCGTTTTTGCCACTCAGCCATGTGTGGGCCAACTAAAAAAGTACTTCAAATTCCGTGAGTTTTCGCGCTCATAAGAATGTGTAAAAAAACCTGAAAATGAAGTAATAGTAGATTTTGTTGCGATCTTTCCAGGAAAAACGCTCAATAAATTTTAAAAAATCATTCCATCTGTGAAATAGATCGCGGCCGCAATTTGACCCATATTTTGTCATTCGCCTCTCTCTCTCTCTCTCTCTCTCTCTCTCTCTCTCTCTCTCTCTCTCTCTCTCTCTCTCTCTCTCTCTCTCTCTCTCTCTCTCTCTTGTGCGCACGAGTCTCATTGCTTTGGCTACCTTAGGGTTGCGTTCCCCGTCCCCACGCGGTAGACAATTCATGTTGCCCCCCACCCCAACAATGGTAGTCAGAGATGGGGTGGGGCTGCTGGTGGGGGTCCGGCTAACGCAAAGACCGAGCATTTGGCCAGTAGCTGCACCTCCCTTTCTCATTGTCCCCCACCCCTCATCGAGTAGCAGCAGAGGCTATGGTCAACACTCTCCCACACACCACACACAACCAACTCGCGCTCACACTCACACCCGTGTTGGTCATAGACCCCACTAATACCGATCAGGGGTATCCAGGGGACTATCACAGTCCGTTGGCACTAAGTGCGCCGCAGGCGGTCATCGGGCTTGAACCCACAACCTCTTGAATGCAACTTGCGTGCCTAACCAACTGAGCTAGGCCGTTGGATTTTTTTTTTTTTAATATGGATCTCATTTATTGCATTAAAACAATAATAGAGGTCGGGAACCTCACAAATCAAACCGGAGTTATCCCAACATCATCAGTCAGTTTAACTTACCTTTCAAGAGGGGCTAATTGACAGCAACCTTTCAATATCTTTACGTACTTTGAACCTTGATTGTCCTAAAGTCCTACCTACTCTAACCCCCCTTAAACCATCAGTACATCCAGCTATCAGCTGAGGACCCTTTTTGGAGGCCGCCCGCCACTGATTGGATTTATCTACATCACTGAGCCTTCGAAAATTTTGTAGGCGACGAGTTTTCTTTTCAGCAAGGTTGGGGCCGTTGTCGAAGTGCACGACCCACATGAGGTCGCGAGCATCGAACCTTTCTTCTCCGTGTCCTTTTTTTTTTTTTTTTTTTTTTTTTTTTTTTTTTTTTTTTTTTTTTTTTTTTTTTTTTTTTTTTCCTCTTCTCTTCCTCCTTCTACATCGGCGCGCCCCGCTCTTCCACTTTGTTTTGTTTTGTTATCACGATCAATTCATTGTCGTCTTCTTCCTCGCAATCCCTTGCTGGTTCACTTTCCCCGCTATGACATGCATCTGCATCGCCCGCGTGCAGTCTTGCACCATTGCGCATACACTTCATCTCCCACTGCGTGAGTTCGTCCTCCACCACACTGTCGTCTCCACCTTCGTACACCTCGCATCCCCGCTCTCTACCCTTCCTCCAACTGCAACCGAATTCGTCAAGCTCCACGATCTCCTTCCCGTGCTCTTAGGGGGGGTGGACAGACTGTAGTCGGAACTCATTCGACAAGTACACGATACGCTGTGCTGAAACAAATTTGTCGTCAAATCTGCGACAGATTCATCGAAGTGGAACATTTCGGTTGCAGGAACCGAATCACATAGCGAAAAAGAAAAAGATAAAAATAAGCGTAAATAAAACAAAATTTAACGAGATTAAAAGGGGAAAAAAAAATAGTAAAAACAATCAATAAGGAAAAATAATCTCTGCGTACTAGTTACCCCGGGGTGTTAACTATCGGGTACGGAACTAAAAGAAAGAAAAACGACAACTAACTAACTAGCTACTAACTAGCTACTAACTAACTTTTATCTCGATGGGCGGGGGTTTGAATCTCGACCCATGCATTGGGCTGAGGATGAACGAATTCGGGCTCTTAAAACTGATAAAAGACCTAGTCCAGTGGTCGTCAAGGTTCGATCCATCAGTTTGTTGTACGCAAGTCCAACTGGTTACCTACTGGGCTAGCTCCTACCATGGTACGATAAAGAGTTGCCTTGCTATAAGTAGAGCACAGATAGTGTTCAATTCAACAAACAATCATACGAAAGTATGACTGACGAAGCAGAAAAGGAAATAATAGACGAAGACGAAGAAGTATAGGCAATATCCGAGCGCAGGTGCGCGTCATCCATTAATAGAAAAAATTAACCAGCATGACGCAAAGCGGCACGACCCGACGTCGCGTTTCGACCAGTCGCCAACTGGTCGTCATCAGGGGTCAAATCCTGAACTCAGATAGAAAAAACTACTGCTGAAAGTCCTTAAGTACTAACTGCCTAGTTCAAGTTCCACAAAAGTACACGGAACCTAGTCCAAACTGAAAAAGTACTAGGAAAACATCGAAACATCAGGGGTACAACAATACTTACCCCACTTACGGGCCTGCAGGGCCTTCGGAACAAAAAACAGAGAACCTTCCCGTATTCGACTCGTAAAAAGGGGGGCCTAAGCCTTGTCTGCACATACCAATTACTACCAGTACCAATTCGTGAAGCAAGCAACCCACTGGTTCCAAAAACCATTGAACCGTCGTGAGAAATTCAGAAGCGCTGTATCGAAATATTTGTCAGGGGAAGATCTCGCCCTGAGTTCGAATTTTAGAGTCAACAAGAAACAGACTTTAACTCCAGGCATACTGTTCATGGTCTTGGCTCGATGGAGAAAGAAAGCAATCACTGCCATTTTCTGCTGCTTCGAAGAGTAGGAGTAAAAATCTTGAAGACCCTGAAAAACGATCCCTCCCTCCAGGATATGTCTCTCATTTTTGTGCGTTACTGCACACAGGACTCTTGCTGGATCGTGGAACACTTTTAGTACACAAACTAAGTAATCACATACATCCTCGTCGTTGGTCTTGACTAAAGCGAGTTTCGGATCGTAACATTGACTGAAAATTTTCAATGCGCTTGATAGCGTCCCATCTGGAAATCATAGATCTTCGATCGTACTTAGTAAACACCGAGACGTCATCAATTAGCCTCACACTAGAAAACATCACCCGCTTGTTGCCCAAAGATTTGATAAAATAGGATTCATTATACACACATAAGAGATAGACAAAAGTCGGGCTGACGGGCTTGCCCATCGGGATACCAACTGTTTGTTGCAAAACTTTACCCATACACATAGTAAACGTATTACTCAAATAAAAAATTACCATGGAAAACAACTTCGAGAACCTAACCGACATCCATCCTTCTGGTGTATTGCGTGCTCTGGACAATTTGACAGCCTTGCCGCGTCGTTTAACCAAAATCTGTTCGTCGCCATCCTCTTCATATGTTGAAACCAACCATTCGAGAGCACCAACAATGGATTCGTGCGGTGGATTGAAAAACATTTCCTTGGCATCAAAGCTAGCTGCAACTATCTCCTCGCCAGAATCGATAGATGAATTGAAGATGGACAGACGTCGAATTAAGTCGCCGGTAGATTTCAAATTGAAGTTACTGCCTTCAGGAAGAAGCCAAAGAAGATGATTGATACTCTTAGAAACCACTCTACTTAATCGGGCTAGAGGATCAGACAAGGAGGGGCAGATTGGTCTCCATCGCTCAGTATCCTTATGTTTTGGCATGGCATATGCCTTCCCCAACTCACATTTGTAGTTCCATGAAACAAGTTTTTGAAGTTTCTTCTGAAAATAGCTCGTCTTGATATTACTAACGACCAAATTTTCGGTAGCCCCGACATGTATAAGCCCATCGTTCTCCAAAAACAAAGAATTCAGCCCCCTAAGGTAAATTTCAGGGCAGCATACAAACGAATCCCCAGGATTATGGTCTACAGCACAAACAACCAAACCCTGAATCTTCTGTTTCCATTCCCGAACCAACCTACAGTCAGTTTGC